CCCCAAAACCCCAAAACCCCAAAACCCCAAAACCCCAAAACCCCAAAACCCCGTATCTTCTAAAAATATTGACAAGATTACTTGCGAACTAAAAATATGTCTAAATAAAATTTATTTCAAGATAACTTTACTTAAGCTTTCCTTAGGCTTGATATATTGCTTGGTAGCTATTGATCATCCTCCTCATCACTAGCTACAAATTGAAGATTATCAAACTGTCTGTCTTCCGTGAGTTCCAGATCAAAAGACAGCACCGAGATATCAACCCTCATCCTAGGAGTATAACATAGTTGAGGCTGTTTATCAGGAGAAGCTGGACTATTGTCATATATCTCAATAATATCTTCTTTACTTTCTTCAAGAAGTTTTCTATTCTTCATAAACTTACTATCATTTGATTTTCAAACCTTCACAAGTTGAGGTCTATGTATCTGACTTTCAAAAATATTTTCTCTTCCACTTTCTTCTTCCGAATCTGAATCTGAGCTTTTCCCAATTTTCTCTTGGCATCGTTCACTGCTTTCTTTAAACCTGCTGTCAGTTTCTTTTGTTTCTTCATAACCTTCATCACTAGTATCAGGATTTGACTTAGACTCTTCTTTAGGGTTCTTCTGTTCTAAGCGTTTGTTCTTAACTTGTTCATAATTATTATTTGAAAACAGCACTGTCTTTCGTATTGAGCATTAATGCGTTGTTAGAATTGACTCCCATCGAACAGTAAGGTTCTTCAAACAATGAATCCGAGTCTTGGCTCACAGTCAGATTGATCTTTTCTGAACAATTGCTTTTGTGGAGAAATGGGTGTTTGGGAAGATCATCGTGAGATATTCTCTTGCTTGGATCATATTTAAGACATTTATCAAGAAGATCAACACATTGAAGAGATAATTTTATATTTTTAGGAATTCCGTAATCTCCTTTGCTTAGTCGATTATTAAGATGACGTTTGTTTATTCCTTTGAATGGAACAAAGCTGACAAGAAGCTCATAAATTATGGTTCCGAGAGACCATATGTCGGCTTTTGAGTTATAAGAGGAGCTATGTATTACCTCTGGAGCTACTGTGGAGGGAGTACCTCAGCATGTTTTAGCTAACCCGTTTCCTTTGACACTTCTAGCAAAGCCTAAATCTCCAATGATTATATTTCAACCTCTTCATCTTCATAGTTAAAGTTCTTGATATATTCATCAGACACTAATTTCGAGCCATCATATTCTGGAAAATTAACCAAAATATTTTCCAATTTCAAATCCCTATGGATTATTTCCTTCTCATTCAAGTAACAAAGCCCTGAGGCAAGCTGCTTCACAATTTCCCTGACAAAATCCTCACTCAACCTGCCACCTCTCACTTCCAGAACCCTCCTTAAATCCCCTCCATTACAGAACTCCACAAACAGGTTCATCGCACTCTCTGTCTGTCAAACATCAAGCAGTCTTATCACATTCAAATGGTCTATCCCTCTCAAAATCTTAACCTCCCTTGCCCATCTGCTTATAACAAATCTCCACTAGCAATCCCTTTATACCCAGCTCCTTGAATCCTACTTACAAGCCACCTGCCTTCCTTCTCTCTGCCTGTGCACGAACACATCTGATAAGCCTTCTTGTTTAACAACTGTTCAATAGTAAACGGAGGCATAGGCTCCCTCGCCTATTGGCTTCTTAGCGAGTTCAAAGGTATTGTTGATTCGTTTCATGCTGAATAATTTTATGGGTTATAATGCACAAATTTTTATGGGGGATTTGGGGTTTTGGGGTTTTGGGGTTTTGGGGTTTTGGGGTTTTGGGG